ATATGAGCTATTTGGTTTTGTTTGAAGCCAATAAAGGTTCTCATGCCACAGAAAATACTGGTTAATTTACTCTTGATGCTCAATACCTGTCCCCGGTCTTGAATGTCACTATTTGGTGATGGGTGGCATGGTAAAGTATTAGAAACCTTGGCAGTATGGATAACTTTTGCATTGGCACTGAATTGGGGTGGTTTGTGACTCGTAACTAAAAATCGAAGTGATGAGTGTTTGGTACTTTCAGCAGACAAATTGCTGAAAGTTACAGCTGGATCATGTCCCTTTAGAAGGCATGAGTAGAATTGATGCTTTCTGCTACTGCAGAACTGACTCGCAGGAAATCGAAGTGATGCTGGAGCATTGACTTACAGGAGATAGAGCTTTATAGTAGTAGATGATAATTAGCTGGTAGAGTGGGTTGTAATTGATGTTCCCTAATTTTGTTTTATAACCAGCATAATACATGTACCAATTTAGAATGTCTTGCGATTTGCTTTTGGTAGATTGGTGTCTCTTGTCTTGTGTAATATGACTCTCTCAAGAGATGCTTTAGTGTGATCATTCTTTATTGAATTAGAAAATGGGAGTTTATGAGAAAACCCAAGTAACAGGGCTGTAATTACGCAGGCATCAGCAAGGAAAACAAATAGATCTACACAAACAAACAGAAGCAAAAATCTAAATTTTTTGTTTTGCTAGTTTCACTAGGCTGCAAAAAAAACAACAAGTTAGGCAGAGCCATAAGAGATGCTCATTAAGCAAATAACCAGCTCAGAGAAACAAAGAACAAGTTAGGCAGAGCCATAAGAGATGCTCATTAAGCAAATAACCAGCTCAGAGAAACAAAGAACGAACCCTTCCATTGCACCAAATGATGTTTCTGTTTGTTTGAAAAGCCTACGCCATATACCAATACAAACCAAAATATATATATGAACCTGTAACTAGTTGAGATAAGGGAGGAGTTCTAGCTCTGTTGGGGTTTGTTACTTGTCTAAATCAAAAAGGATTCACATGACTTTTCCACGGCAACCAACCACAAAAATAGAAAATTAAGTAGAAGATTTGGGAAGGGATTTATGATAAGTACACTCAGATTTGAAACCATCCAAATACACATTATGTTGTTCACCCAATCTCCACAATCTAACGCATTCAGGAATTATCCAACAAATACCCAAATCAAAAGGATACTGAAGACTTATCTCATACAAGCTAAAAGCGGATTTTAGGTCACGTATCCTTTCATTGCCTCTGCTGACGATGGGTATTTCGACTGAGTCGGCGATCTTCGTGCTGCTGCCTGAACAGCGGCAACGACGATGATGATGTTCGATTGCCACGGTAGGGACATTGTTGGGAACGACCGGGCAGCCAGGACGGATATGATGCTCCCTGCAGACCTCTCCTGCTGCTGAAGAAACAGCTGAGGCTTAAGCTCTATCACCTGCTGATGCCCTTGGTACGAGCTAGTACCATGACCAATGTTCCCAAGAGCTAGCGGTGCTGATGTCACACCATTGAACCCAGTCGCTGTAACGCCACCATCCATCAAGCCGATCGCCTCCTGCTGCTGAAACTGCCTCGGTGCTGCTGCTGTTCATTATAAGCCCTCAACATCTCCTGTTGCTGGGCCGCCTCGTACATCTGCTGCATTTGAAGCCGGTGATGAAATTGAATCGGGGGTTGGGGAGCCTTGATGACGATGGCGATTTCGATGGTGTCGCGGCAGAAACGAAGGGCGGCGATGACCAGAAGGCGGATACGGGCGTGACGACGGTGGTGAGGTCGATCGACGACAATAGCGAGGTGGTGGATTGCTCGCCGGAAGTCTTGGATAGGTTTACAAAGTCACGAACAAAGGAGTGGAAGGGAATGGTTGTGCTGTTTTTTGTTTATTGTTTCCCACTTTTATTTATTTATTTATGATTTATTAATTGAATTATCAAGCCAGGGTCACCCAGTAATTTACAAACTCAACCATTCCAACCGGTCAGAAAAAAGTGGCGGCACTGGTACAGTGCCTGTACCACAGAATTCCCCGCCAACTTATCATTTAATTCTCCACGTGTGTCTTGGTAAAGTTTGAATGGCATTTAAAGAACGTCCATTTGGTTGAAAGGACATGTCCTTTGCCATGCATTTAGATGGACAAACCCATTCATTTGAAATGGAATGTGGTTTAACGTTTCATTAAAATGGAAATGGGTGGCAGTTTATGCCATTGCAACATTTCAAACTAATTGTAAATGTTGGCAGTTAATTTGCCATGAAATAAATGGCTTGGTGCGTGGCTTCATGAAGCAATGCTTTGCTTCGGTCATGAAGAAATGAGACCAATTCCATGAGTATAAATATGAGGCATACGGAAGATGGTAGTGACCCCATTACATAAAAAAATTCCTCTTCTTCCTACTAAAACTTCTAATTATGCTTTAGAGTTCTTGAGCCTAGAACCTAAAGTGGTGATAGTTTTATACTCGGGAGAAATTTCCTGTAACCCAAGGCTTTGAAGAGGGTGGAAATATTCTTTTCGGAAAGTGAACGTAGTTCACGACTCTATCATAATCATGGTCACCCGGTCTCGGGCTATCGTACGTGTACCCTCGTCCCTAAAAGTCCCAACATGAACAATGGAGATACGATGAACTCGCAGGTAGAGATGACAATGGGTCGGGTCGGGGACGGATAGTGCATATCGGTTATCCTATTCAAAGTAGTTAGGGTTTTACCCATACCCATACCCAAATATGAAACGGGTAGAAAATTAAAACCATGCCTATACCTGTTCGGGTTTCGGATATCCACGGTTCTTCATGGGTATAATTTTTCTTCATAACTCCAACCAATATGTTAACATTCACACGTATTATCACATTACGTAAGAGGAAAAGTACAACAATAACTCACTAGAATGAAGAAAATTAATTAAAACAACACAATTTCATTGAAATATTATATTTATATGCCAAATATAAAATATGATAGAGAAAAATAATGATTATTTCTAGACAAAATACATATGCATGTGTATAATCGGGCGGGTTCGGGTTGGATAGTGAGAAACTCATGTCCACCCATTACCCACAATATTCGGGTTCGGGTTTTATCTGTACCCACTAAATATCTTTCGGGTTCGAGTTTTACCCTACTAAATTAGGCCGGTTTCGAGCGGATATCTACGGTTATGGATATTATTGTCATCCATACTCGGAGGTGGCCAGCTTGCACTAGTTGACAAATTATGTGATAGTCGAGAAACAATTGCTTCATATGAGATTGAAACGCCGAATTTGCCAATTAGTATGTGGCTCCCTGATTATATGAATAGACTACGATTGATGTTGTGGCAGGATGGTATAGCTTACGAAACAAATTTTCCACCTTTTCTTGCTTTGTGTTGTTGTACACTTTGATGAAAAGTTAAATTACCAATTCATTAAACAAAATCAATGAAAACGTTGGGGATCAAAAAGTGGTGTAATTATGGACTCATGTGTGGCATAACTAAGTACAGAACATGAGCGGGCTGTTGCTTTCCACATGCCATTGTGTTGATATTCTCCAGCACTCGTTGAACCATTGACGGTTTTGGTTGAACTAGAATCAAAGAACAAGAGCTAGAAAACAAATTGAAGAATACAGGAGAGAACAAGAAAATATCATTTGTCTCTCTTTAAAAGCCTGTAGCCAGAGTATTTTGGGCAAACAATTGTCACCTTTTGGGAACTCTTTTGACTAATCCTTTCCAGAACAAGAATTCTGGTTTACTTTTATCATAGCTACCGAAAGAGTATCGTACTACTACTAATTGTGCTCGATGAACACTTACAAATATAAGAGAGAATTTTGTTTTGTTTTTTATGTGAAACGTGGATTGATAACAACTATTCCTTAAAAACAAGGATCACGAACGTTTTATCCTCCCTTCCAACGATTATCTTGATCTGTCGATCACCTTGTATCCAGAATACAAAGGTGGGGAGTAATAGTGTGTATTAAATCCTCTTTTGAGAAAGAATCCAGGTACACCCGAACCTCGCCCCCTCAAATCGCATGGATATTAAATTATATATCATGTGTGAATCTGAAAAGGATGCCGAATATACCCGATACTTATACCTCGCCAAGCATCCCAACTTTTTTTAGTACCTTGTTTGTAAATTGAATCAAATAACCTCATAACAAAATGAACCAATGATCAAGCTAAAACAATGCAAAGATTAACATACACAAAATTCATGAAATGAACTACATATAATGCGAATTCGACCGTGCATAATATGTCAACAATATATGAGCCAAAATTTCCACACAAAAAAAATATCGTCTTTATTTTCTTACGCAAGAATTTTGCTCACTACGATATTATCTATTTTGGATCGAATCTTTCACCGTCTTCTCAAAAGGGTTGATGTTAAACGGAAATAGGTGATGAACATTGATATATATATATAAGACAATTTTCCCTTATATGCATAATCATGGCAAATTTTTTGCTAAATGTATATGCAACACGTCTCATTTTAGTATTTTACAAAAGAAGTCACCTTTCTCCCATTCGGTAGCGTCACCGGAAATGAATAAACGTCCGGCCACGAAGCCGGTTACGATGACCATAATTTCCCCTTTTTGGGTCTGTGGGACACTGCCACGTGCCACCCAAGCTGCCCCTGCGACCGAGTCCTATAATATTTTGCAGGCCCGATGGGCAATGGCACAACTTATATATTAATGCCCTCTCTACACTTCTCTTAATTCGATCAGAAGACGAAGAAGAAGAAGAAGGAGAGTATTGCAGGGGAAGAAAAACCCCTTCTTCAAGATGGTAGACAAACTGAGAATCCATACACCATCCATACTTATCTTTTCTTCTCTTGGTCTGCTTTAGGTGTTTCGTTCATCGTTCGACCTAATTCAGTTCGAATCTTGGGGGTCGAAAATCATTTAGTTTAAGCATTCATGCTGTAACCTTTGTGATGCGATGATTGCAGGATGTAGCAATGAAGAAACAGAGGATACTTGGTGGAAACAGAGCTGTGCTTCCTGTGTTTGGTAAATACTTGCTACTAACTTCTGGGCAGTTGCTTTTTCTCTTTTTTTTCCTAACGAGTAATGTTGCAACTCTAAACTCCGAATTCTACTGTGTTATTAACGTTATGCAGCCATGGAAGGGCTGGACAGCATGGCCTTCGTGGCGAACGCGCTCAGCCTGTTCACCTACTTCTACAGCATCATGAACTTCGGGCTCACCAAATCGGCCAACACTCTGACCAACTTCATGGGCACCTCCTTCTTGCTCGCTCTCGTCGGAGGCTTCCTCGCCGACACCTACCTGTCCAAGTTCATGGCTTGCACGCTCTTTGCCAGCTTTGAACTCTTGGTACGTGTTTTTGGTAAAAAAAACTCTGATTCGATTGTAGATCATGTACCATTTACTAACAGCAGCAACGTGAAATTTCTTTTTCGTGGCAGGGGTATGCTCTGTTGACAATGCAAGCACATTTCGACCAACTCCGGCCCGCGCCCTGCAACGGCGGCCAGGTGACCGACCCGACCCGGTGCGAGTCCGCCACGAGCGGGCAGTCCGCCGTGCTCTACGTCGGTCTCTACCTCATCGCATTGGGTGCCGGCGGAGTGAGGGCGGCGCTGCCGGCGTTGGGAGCCGACCAATTCGACCCCAAGGACCCTGAAGAGGCTCCTAAGCTATCCAACTTCTTCAACTGGTTCTTTTTCAGCCTGACAACCGGAGCCATTGTTGGAGTGACGTTGATCGTGTGGGTCGGAGAGAACAAAGGTTGGGATTTGGCGTTTGGGATCTCTGCTCTGGCCGTCTTGCTCGCCGTCTCTGTACTCGTATTGGGAAAGCGTTTCTATCGCATCACTGCCCCTGCTGGAAGCCCTTTTGTCAGGATCGCCCAGGTACTGAACCACATTTCAGTTCTGTAACATTTTCATACGAAAAGTCAGCTCGATCAGATTCGGTAGGATGAGGGCCAACAGAATTGACATACTTTAATGTGTTCTTCGTCATTAATACGTTTGCTCGTCCTAATTGTGACCGTACCAAGCTGCGCTGCATCAGTTTCTTTCAATTGGTGTACTATGTCACTGTAGAGAAGAATTACTTCCCAACTATTATCTAAAACCTCTGTTGCTGTTCTTCAGGTGCTTGTAGCTGCAATGAGAAACAGGCACCAAGAAATACCAAAGCCAGAAGACGAACTATACGAGAAGGAAGGGATCAACGGCGAAATCCTAAGAAGGACGAACCAGTTCAGGTTTCTGGACAAGGCAGCAATTGTCTGCTGCACCAACAAGGAACAAGCATGCCCTTTACCAGATCCATGGAGACTCTGCACGACGACACAAGTCGAAGAAACCAAGATCCTGATCCGAATGCTTCCCATCATCCTCAGCACAATCTTCTTGAACACCTGCTTAGCCCAACTCCAGACATTCACAACTCAACAGGGCAACACCATGGACCGAGAACTCGGAGAGTTCAAAGTCCCGGCCTCATCCGTCCCAGTACTCCCACTCCTCTTCATCTTCTTGATGATCCCTCTCTACGATCGGGTTTTCGTCCCCTTCGCCCGTGGCATCACAGGGGTCCCCAGCGGGGTCCGCCACCTCCAGCGCATTGGGGCAGGGCTCGTGCTCTCGGCCGCGTCCATGGCAGTGGCTGCGGTGGTGGAAACCAGGAGGAGGAATTTAGCTATCGAGAACGACATGGTCGACTCGCTGCTGCCACTGCCGTACAGCGTCTTCTGGCTGGGGTTTCAGTACTGCATTTTTGGGGCAGCGGAGTTTCTGACGGCTGTTGGATTGATGGAGTTCTTCTACTCGGAGAGCTCGGCTGGAATGAAGGCCCTGGCAACGGGGATCTCGATGTGCTCGAGCTCGTTCGGATATTTCTTGAGCTCGGTGGTGGTGGCTGTTGTGAACAGGCTTAGTGGTGGGTGGTTGGAGAGTAATAACTTGAACAGGGTGAAGCTGCACTACTTTTACTGGCTGTTGGCCGGATTGAGTGTTGTCAATTTGGCGGTTTATTTGGTGTGTGCTTCATGGTATAAGTATAAGGAGGTTGAGGACCAGGAAGAGGTGGAAATGATGGTTGCTTGAATGTTGTTGTTCTTTTAACTTGGGGTACTAGAAATCCCCTCATTTTTCTCCTTTCCTGCACTTGTTTATTGTTACAGTAGAGACATACAATTCATCACCTGTAATTCAAAGTTAAAAACATTCATCCAAAATAGTACACTTCACCATCTATGTACCTATGTATTCTTCAGAATCTACCCATTTCGACAATCCACCACAATCCAAAATGACGCCTATCTATCTACAGATGCAACAGGTGAAATGTGTAGTTACAGAAGCTAACGCATACAAGTGACATGGCACATTTGACAGCATTGCTTTCATAGACCATATGTATGACAACTATATATGATATATGAGGGGTGCTCAGTTAACCTATTTTACAAGTAATGCATACTACCATTTCACATCCAGCGTCAAAGCCTCGGGAGGGACAAGAATAGAAGGGAACTTCGTGAATGAAAGATTCGACATTAAATTGCTCCATGAAGCAGTGTCCACAGAAACGAAAGGTCTAACCTTCTTCACCATAATCGGCTTCAGCTTCTCGTCTTCGATCCTCGCAGTTACCTCGAACCAAAGTCGTTCAACCAAAGGTCTAGTCCTCCACTCTACTTGACGAGTCTTGTTCTTTTCAGGAGTCTTTTCCAGCTCCAACTGAAACCGGATAATGGATGATGCTTTAACAGTTGCTCTCATGAATCCCCACAGCCCGTCCTTCTGCACTCTATCGCCGAGATACATGCTGAATATGTTTTCCAGCTTTGCTATTCTCGAGGCTAGAGGCTGAAAGGGGTGTGCCTTTTTCGTTCTCGTGTGAGCATTCCTACTGTAGCACTTATCTGGTAGTAACTCAATCATGCTCCTGGACATGAAAACTGTGTTGATGATGTCTTCAGAGTTCCTGGTCTTGTAGGCTCTCAGTGATGCAGACCCAAGAACGCGTATGGGGACCAATGGTGTGCATAAGGAATAGAAGAAGTCGCGAAAGCTATTCCTTTCCTTGCTTCTTTTAATGAAGCTCTCATTTCCACCAAAAACGAAATCAAGTCCATGGAAAAGAGAGACCTCTTGTGCTCCTGTGACTTCTACAGTCATTCCCTTGCCAACAACTACATGTTTGAGATCGCTGTATGAAGTGTTCATCTGCAGAAGATCATAATCTGTCAGCTCGTTAGCACTAAACTGACAAGAAAAAATTCCATAAGACACACGGAAAGTATCAGCCATAGAGAAGGAAGAGATCAAGAAATGACCATGGGGTCATTCTGTAAACAGCGAATGTTCTATGTCTGCATCCACAACTGCAATCTCAATAAACTGAAAACTGAAAATCTACTATGCAAACCATGTACGTCAGTTCTCATGTATTTCCAGAATGCATGATATTGCATATCTCAGAAATCTTTGGCTTGTCCGAAGATTTCAACAGTACATCCCATACGTCTGCATCCACAACTGCAATCTCTATAAACTGAAAACTGTATTGTTTCTAATATGACAACCTTAAAATCTCATCTACAAGACATTCGATTTCTTAACAAATCACATGTATTCCGCAACCTCCACGCAAATTTCATCTAAGTTCCACAACAGAGTAGTCTACAATCCAACAGTGCTAGAATTTCTAATTTCCATGTAAAGTTCTAATTCACTGTCCATGGTTACTTCAGTTCACTTACTACAGCTAGTATGATGAAGACAAACGAGGCAAAAAGATCTTCTAATCAGAATCCTAAGTTGCCTACAAGGTATCACGGTTCTTTCAGCAAGCTTCATGTGCCGACCAACAAAAGGGGCCAAATTGATGGAAGATCTGTTTTACCGGCAATGATAGGGAGAGATGCCCGGCGCCGGCGGCGACTGACAAAACAAAGGGACCCTCGAGCTTCAAAGTGCGCAGCAGGGGAACTGAGCCAAATTCCTTAACCAAACCCCTCAAACCGTCATCACCACCACCCGCTGTTCGTCTATCGAACTTACTAGCACTCCAAGAATCCACTTCGTCGTCAGGGAACTTGAAAAGCAAGTAACTTTTCCCCAATCGGATCCGGAACTCGTACCTTCGCGATGTACCCAATCGAAATTTGCTAGTTACTAATTCGGAAACCTGAATTCCCTCCCAATCCCAGCTCAGCTTCTTGGCTATGTCCTCCACTACGTCCTGCAGTGGTTCCGAATCTCAATTTCAGGTATAAAAATCGGATCCGGGGAAAAAAAAGGAAACCTTGTGGAGGGATTTTGACGAGTACCTGAAGGATGTGGGTGGTATTGCTCGTGAGAGTAAAGGCGAGAGCGGAATGAAGGCAGAGAAACCAGACGAGAGAAATGGAGAAACGGCAGGGACTCATCGATTCGTCGGCGGTGAACCTTGGGTTGTATCGGTGGTTGGGAGCGGCCGGGAGACTGGGATCTGAAATCAATTAGTTTCTGTAGCCATTGAGGGCGAGTGGTGTTGTCATTTTGAGTATTTTTACAGGCGGTGATAACGAACCACGATGGGGATGGTTCTCGGTTCTCCGATGAATCCAACATTTACCAGGTCCTTTTTGTCCTAATGTGTACAATGGAAGATACACTTGTTGGTAAATCCGAATACAACAATTCTATAATAATCCTAACACTAATACAGAAATTACCTAACTTCTACAACTTTAATAAGTAATAAGGCAATCGAAGCAAGTGGCGGCGGACGAACCCTCGGTGCAGAAGGTGGGGCAGCGCCGATTGAGTCCTCGGGGCTTCAAAATGTCGCGCTCACCGGTGATAAGATTGGGCCATGCTCGCACCCGACCTCCTCGCCTGCTGCTAGCTCGGACGGCCTGATTGGCGGCCGACCCGCAGTGAGTATGAGGGAGCCGGAAATGCCAGCTACAGATGGCGATGGTGGATCCCCAGGTCGCTATCGGGAAAGGAGAGGTGGTGATTACAAGCTCCACACGGAGATCCCTGTTGCTGGGGCGTGCCACGCTGGCGGAGCTGCGCAGGCGACCAGTATTGCGCCGGGAGACGCTCGTCGGCGGAGGTTAATTATTGAGGACTGGGAGGATGAGCCTCCCATCCCTGTGAGGTCGACGGAGGATTCGGTGATGGTGGGAGAGACAAGGAAGAAGGGGAAAAGGCTGATCAAGAAAGAGGTTGGGCCTAAGGGGTCTTCAGCCCGCAAGGGAGCAGCCCACAAAAAGAAGACTGACTCGGTCAAGCCTAGTGCACTTGTTGGGGTGGACCGAAAGAAAAAGGGCCTGACCCGATCTCCTTTGGGCAGGGAAGCTGGATCGGGAATGGCGGCCAACTCGGTGGACCAGGCGCCAGTTCAAGATGAAATTCCGGGGGCCCAGGTGGAGTCCAACTTGGCGGAGGAGCCCACTAAGACTGAAGGGATGCCTTCCCCCAAAGGGTCGTCTTCGGAGGAAGATGAGCAGCGTTTTGTGATCAAGGCTCGTACCACACCAGCAAAACTGCAGAGCCAGGCTATTCCGGGACAAGTTCGTCAGGTGGTTGCGGCCTTTGAAGCTGGTATGAGTATTAATGATGGAAAGAATTTAGTGCAAGTGGTGGAGGATGGGATTACCTCTAACCTCAACGAGTATGGGTCTAATTTGGAGACTGGGACTCGTAAGCGCTCTCTGAATGAGCTGGAAGGGGGTTTTGAGGCAAGTCCCACACCTAAGAAGCAGTTTGTGGAAGAGCAGGAGATTACTGAATCGGTGGAGGAAGCCAGCCGTGAGTGGCCCCAAGATGATAAATGAAGATTCTAGCCTGGAATGTGAGAGGAATTGGACCATCCCTCACATTCCAAACGGCAGTTGGTTTGGTTCGTTCGAATAATCCGGACCTTGTTTTCTTTTCAGAGACAAGGTCGTCCCGGAAAGTAGTTACCCGGCGTTTGCGGGGTTTAGGTTTTGAATCGTCGGATTGTTTTTTTGTTGATGCCATGAATGGGGCTGGTGGTCTTGTTCTAGCTGTGTCCCCCGGAGTCGATACTTTGGTGTTTTTTCATTCTAGTTTTTGTATTTGTTCGAGGATTAATGAAAATGGTTCGTCTTATGTGGTGCTTTGTGTTTACTTGAGTTGTAATACTGTTTTGCGTGCAACTCAATTGAATCAGATTCGTGAGATTTGTGCCAGCCTAATTCTCCCTTATGTGATCATTGGAGACATGAATGTTACCCTAAATGCTGGAGAGAAAGAGGGTGGCAATCTTTGGAATGCTACCCAATCTATGGACCTCAGAAATATGATTCAGGATATTGGACTGCATGACCCTGGGTACCAGGGTGATCAATTCACCTGGACCAACAAACTGATGGGACTGGCGTGTATTCGGGAGCGGCCGGACAGGGCCCTTTGCTCTCAAACCTGGATGGATACTTTTCCCGATACGCTTGTGAAGCATTTCACGGATCAAGGGTCGGATCACCGGGCTTTCCTTCTGTCTGATAAACCTTATGTCAGGATGTGTCGCCCCTTGTTTCGGTTTGATGCTCGTTGGGCTGACAATCCGGAGGTTAAGGCGATGGTTTCCTATGTTTGGCGGGAACAAATACAAGGTAATCCGATGTTCCAGTTGTGGGAGAGATTAAAGAAGCTTCGTCATCTTTTATATGATTGGAGCCGGGTGGGGACCACCAACTCCCTGCGCAATATCCAAACCTTGAAAGTTGAGATTGATCGAATTAAGGCTGTCCACCCGATCAACTGGGAGGCAGTGGCGGAGTTGGAAACGGAATTAAGCAGGCAGTGGGAGGCAGAAGAAGAATATTGGCAACAGAAATATCGAGTCCGATGGCTGAAAAGAGGCGACAAGAACTCCTCTTACTTCCATACGGTCACGAGAACCCGCCGTAAAAGAAACTTTGTTGCTGGGTTGTATAATGCGGAGGGTGAGTGGGTAACGGAGGAGCGTGGAAAGGCTGATATAGCTAATGATTTCTATCAAACCCTTTTCACCTCGGAAAGCCAGGTGCAGAATATGGCTGGGAGGGTAGCAGACCTACCGATTGGGTCAAGTGTTACCCAGGAGATGAATGCGACCCTAACGGCGGTAGTCCTTCCTGAGGAGATTCGAAAAACTGTTTTCGGTATGGGCTCGAAACAGGCGCCAGGCTCGGATGGCTTTACAGGAAAGTTTTTCAAAGCCTTCTGGGGAATAGTTGGGCATTCAGTGATTGAGGCGGTCAGTTCGTTCTTTGAAACCAGTCGAATGCTCCGGAGCTTCAATCATACCTGGTTAACACTAATTCCCAAGGTGGATCAGGTGGAATCTATAAGGCAACTCCGCCCCATTAGCCTGTGCCAGTTTGTGTACAAAGTAATTACTAAAATTATGGCGGAGCGATTGGCTGGAGTGTTGCCTGAAATTATTTCGAAGGGGCAGAACGCGTTTATTGGGGATAGACAAATCATGGAGAATATCCTCCTGGGGCATGAGTTGATGCACTATCTGAAAATCAAAACCCGTGGGAAGAAGGGATACATGGCTCTGAAGGTTGACATGGAAAAGGCCTATGATAGAGTTGAATGGTCCTTTTTACTTGCGGTTTTGGCTAAGATGGGTTTTAACTCGGTCTGGAGAGGGTGGGTGCAGGAGTGTTTGCAATCAGCTTCTTTTTCGGTACTCATGAATGGAGCTCCCTCCGGATTCTTCAGGTCGTCTAGGGGGCTCAGGCAAGGAGACCCTCTTTCCCCCCTTCTTTTTGTGTTGTGTACGAAGGGGTTCGCAGCCCTGCTCCGGAAGGCCATTTCGGAGAAGAGATTAGAGGGGGTCAAAGTTGCTCCTCGAGCTCCTCGGATTTCTCATCTGTTCTTTGCTGATGATTCTTACTTGTTCCTCCGGGGGTCGCTCCAGGAGTGTGAGAATCTCATTGAAGTTTTGAATGAGTATGAGGAACTAAGTGGCCAGAAAGTGAATTTGAGTAAGTCGGCGGTCTGCTTTAGCAAAAATATATCCTTGCCTGATCAGGATTTCTTAGGGGCAATTCTTGGAGTGGGGGCGGTAGGTGTGCAGGATAAGTATCTTGGCCTTCCTACCTTGATAGCGCGTTCCAAGATGGCCACTTTCCGCTATTTGGAGGAAAAGTTAATAGAGAGATTACAAGGGTGGAAACGGAGGACTTTATCCTGGGCGGTTAAGGAGACTTTGATTAAAGCGGTGGCTTTGGCTCTACCCCTACATGTGATGTCTTGCTTCAGGCTTCCGCTATCCCTTTGTCGCCTTCTGGATAAGCATGTGGCCAGATTTTGGTGGGGAGTGGAGGATGGTCAGTCCAAGGTTCGGTGGATGTCTTGGCGGAACTTATGTCGTAGTAAACATGAAGGGGGGATGGGTTTTCGTAGGTTTGAGTTATTCAATCAGGCTCTGTTGGCGAAGATTGGGTGGCGCATTTTGACTGAACCCGAGTCTCTGTTAGCCCAGGTTTATAAAGGGAAGTATTTTCCCAATGGCTCGTTCCTCTCAGCCACGACTAGATCCCGACCTTCTTGGGATGGCAAAGCATTCTGTTTGGGCGCCAATTGTTATCCAAAGGTTTACTTTGGCAGATTGGTAATGGTCAAACAGCTCCGTTGCTTGAGTCGAATTGGGTCCCTCAGCAATCCAATTACCCCCTTGTGGCTAACCCTCGTGTTTTACCGATGGCTGGGGAGGTGAGGGTTGCGGAGGTAATATGTGCGGGGGGAGGGCGCTGGTGTGAGGATAAGCTTGGGCAGTGGTTTGATCCCCCGACCTGTAGAGTGATTAAGGTTATCCCCCTTCCTAGGCTGAATGTTGAAGACCGCTTGATCTGGCAAGGTACTGCAGATGGTGTCTTCTCAGTAAAATCGGCGTATCACCTAGCGGTTGGGTTGGATCAGCAGAACGGTCGTTGGAGGGCTCACGTTAGCTGGATGGATAAGGAAAATTGGATCCGGCTTTGGAATGCCAACATTCCTCCTAAGATGAAGGTGTTTGTCTGGCAAATTTTTAATAGAATCCTCCCGACGACTGAGGCGCTTATTGAGCGAGAAATTGAGGTTCATCCTTGGTGCCCGGTTTGTTGGGATGCGGTAGAGACAATGGAGCATCTGTTCCTGTCCTGTCCTGTGGCTAGGGCACTGTGGAATCAGTCTGGTTTGGAGTATCTGGGGGAGGGTTTGCCTCAAGGTACATTCCCTTTGTTCCTGAAAAAACTATTCTCTATTTTGCACCAGCCTTCTCATTTCATGATGATTGTTGCTGTCCTCTGGAGGATATGGAAGTCTCGCAACTGGGTTGTCTTTGAAGGTAAACAGTTTGGGATTCCGGCCTTAATGAGGCAGTACAATCAGCAGATAAATGAATGGCTACGATTGCCGCCGGATGATCGTTCCGTTCTAGTGCCCAGCCAGCAGCACACTGGGAGGCAAGGGGTGGTGCCTGGGGGGCCTGTGTGTCGGTGGGATGGGGCAGTCCGTAGGGGGTCACACTCTGCTGGTGGAGTAGTTGCCTATGATGAGACGGGGGGAGTCCTTTGGGCTATCGGAGTGCAGTTCCCTTTCATTGAGGATCCCATGGTGGTGGAACTATTAACCCTCCGGGAGGCTATCTGCTGGTGTTTGGA